CAACTGAAGTGGGAAGGGGCTCGTTTACTCAGTTTAGATGAAAGTTTCGACTTTCAGAACACACTGCAAATTTTCCCTAGACGTTGAGGCATCTGAAAATAGCTCTGTGTGGAGATTCTAAAAATACGACACAAACATGTGATTAGGTATATATCGTAGTCGATAAAACATGCATGATGGCGATTTGTTCCATCCCTGAAAGAGCATTACCTCTGACCTTGAAAGCGATATACCAATTATCAGTCAATAGAATATTCATTCGTTGCCGAGTCTTATTCCCGAGGAAACAATTAAGCTTGACAATCGGATCAATAGTAATTACGTCGAATGTGTGAAACTAATCTGCAGATTATCTGATATTGATCAATCTGGTCTTAGCCTAGATTCCAATTGGCAACTACACATGTATTTACTCAACTGAAAAATAGCTTATCTTGATGTATAGTTGCTTCACCGCGGAACTTTACATCACATCATTCATGATACTCGTATATATACAGTGCTTTTAAAAAAGCATCCCACTCCTTTATTTTTCAATGGGTCAAGTTAGCAAGCTGGAATTTTGAGTAATGAAATTCGTGCATAAACTCTATATTCTAATGTAAAAATCACAGCTAAAAATTTCATTATGGCGGCTGGCCGCCATCTTAGAACATTTGTTACATAAAATACAGGTACCTGTAACACCTTTTATTTCGAAGCTTTGAAGTATCTATCTGAATAATGTGCAATGCAATGTGAGACATTCCGCTTAAAAAATTGACAGATTTCGACATGATTCTTATGGATTGTTCCGTATTTTATCACATATTCGGATAGATCCTTCCGGGAGATTCAATGCACAAAAATGCCCAGCCTTGACATTCTGGAAATATCTGATTTTAGAATTTATATTCTAGGATTATAGAGTTTAATAAAAAGCTTGAGGAATGAGTGACTACTTGGCTCCATTCCAATAAAAAAGTCCCAAGTTCGATCTTGAAACTTTCAATTGTCACTTTGAACTGTTCAGTGGAAAAGTTCACCTTTTGATTTAAGAAAAAAAATACAAACTTAACGAAAAAAAATATTTGTTACAATCATATAATTGGTAACTTCGGCAGGTTTTAATTCTTAAAAAGGACAGGTATATATATATATCTTTAGGTTGGTATCGAGTGATAGTTCCTGTTTGGCTAAGCATGTTTTATTTAGAGCATAGTACAGTTTCGCAGCAGCATTTATTCTTTTATTTAGATCACTTTCCTGTCTTCCTTTAGAGTCTACTATGGTTCCTAGATATGTACTTGAATTCACTTACGCATTCTAGTATATGTTCTCCTACTAGTAGGTCGGCATTGTTTTCATGTCTCGCTATTGCCATTATTTTACTTTTTACTTTATTTGTGTTTATTTTCATGTTCCTGGACGTGTGGGCTTGGTCCCATATGGTTAGATTTGTTTGTAGATTTGTTTCACTATCAGAAAGTATGGCAAGATCGTCTGCATATGCGCACTCGGTTACTGTTACCGATTGTAGGTTATTATATCCTATTAATAGTTTTTTGGTGTCGTGTCTTGTTTCCAACATTATTTCATCCATAACTTAGATGAATAGTATCGGACTCAGTACCCTGCCCTGTCTTAGTCCTTGGTCCGTTGTGAATTCACCCGTATCCAATCCAGCCACCCGGACATGATTTCGGTATATAGTACCTCATAAAGGCTCCTGATACCTTGAATTAGCTTTGTTCCTACTTTTCTTTTTTGTAGTATGGCCCAAATGCTATTTCTGTCTATCCTATCAAATGCCATCTCTAAGTCCAGAAATGCTACGTAGACCTCTCTGTTTTGATCCAGAGTCTTTGCATTCACTTCTCTGATGGTAAAGATGTGGTCCTGGTTGCTATATCCTATCCGGAAGCCGCTTTGGGAATCCATCATCCCTTGTTCGATTTTCTTGGTCAGTTTGTTTTCCAAAATCCTTTCAAACAGCTTGGCTATGACGCTCAATAACCTGACTCCTCTAACATTTGTGCATACCTTTGGGTCCCCTTTTTTGAAAATCGGCACCAGTCTGCGGGTACGTCTTCTGAATCCCATATTCTCACAAATAGCTCTAATAGTGTTTCCACCGGTGAGTATTGTTATTATCTTGAAACAATACTGCCTTTAGTAGGCGTTGGTAGTCAATTGAGTTGAAAATATGCACTAAAATTATTGGCGACAAACAATGCAATGTAACATACTGCCTTGGTTCCTAATCCATTCGAATTCGTTGGTTCCTGTCAGTGATCTGTTTTCGACCATTTCTAATCAAAAAATATTATTATTATCATTATAACTTACTTAACCCCATATTTTAAAGGAAATGCATACCGTTGACAAATTTCTATTACACGATAGCACAGGGTAAGCTATCGCGTTGGACAATATAATAGTCCATATAGCTGGCATATTGTATCAACATCTAAGCACCACAGGGTGCTAGAAAGGGGATCTTCCGTTCACCCTTCAATGAGTCGCTTAGGGATTCGCTAAGTAATTAATTTCTAGTGCCCGCATAACTTCCCACGTCCCACGCGGCGCGAACGTGGGCTTGATGAAAAAAAATCAACTCGCGTCATTGTAAGTTTTGAGTTGGGATGCTGCGAATAACGGATACTTACTATGGCAGAGGCACAAGTTGTCTGGTGAGGCGATTTAGGACCGAAAATCCACAGAAGGCTGCATTTTATTTCACAGAAATGAGACTTGATATGATATTTGACCTTATGTTTAAGAAATAGTGCCAAGTGGTACAGGATGTTGTATGTCTAGCAGGTGCAAGTTCATGATTATCTATGTTTTGATGTATTCAGTCGTTTGTAGCAGTTTTTCTGTCATTAACCACCAAACTGTGTTGTCCTTTCTGAAGAGATGTCATGTCCAAATTTATATCTAAGCCTTTAATAATATGAGCCACATCACAGAAAAATTAGGAACGATGCATCACACAGAAAAGATTTTCGCAGTACCTCACATCTAGGCGCAGATCTGTATTTTCTACTTGACACCGCAAAATAAATGTTTATAAAATTTTAATGACTGGAAATAAAAAAATAATGTAAAGTGCAATAACCTTCCACGCTTCATAAATATTCCTGTATGCAGCCTATTTTCTCACCTATACTTCACCGACCAATATCTCTCCCATTTTTGAAGTTCAGCAAATTTGCATATGTAACTTCCAGGAAGAACAAGAAAACGTAGAGGTGCAACTAAGTTCTAGCTTTTCGTACCTGGATCTCAAGTGAACGTATTTGAGTAAAATGAAATAAGGACTTTTCAGATATAAACAGCCATATCACCCACAATTCCACTATGTCCATTTTCTTTGTACTATTCGTATAGGACCAGTTATCGAATATTCCCATCTCTAGTATATGATAGTCGTATTGCATATTATTCATGGAATACGGGCACAATCGCGTAAAGGATTAGTCAACCGCAGACAGTACATATTAAAGAATCTTGTCAAGTGTGAAATATTAATCTCCACCGCCAAAAGATCAAACGAAAAGGGTAGCCAGAGGCACATAATGGCGTAATTTGGAAGCACAGGCGATGAATAATTATTTTTTCATTCGCTGAACGTTGCTGAAGTGAATCAGTTTCTTTAGGCAAGTGGAAGATTTTTTGAGTAATCATTCTATAACATCGTCCTCTTCTTCTTTTGATATACTTGACGTAACTATAGATGTTTCTGAATTGAATATTGACCTTTGAATATCAGCGATGTATCTACAACGACCGTTTCATTTGAATATCACGTGTACCGTATTGTAGCAATTACTCCAAACGATTGAGAACCCTATTTCCCAACAAGATAATGTCCGTCCCCATATTGCTGGAGTCATAACGACTTCAATAACGATCAAGTCGACCTACTTTCTTGGCCGTCTAGGTTTATCAATACAGCACATTATTGGCTCACCTAGAAACTTTATCACAATTTCTACTTGCTTATGTTTAGCTCTGTCAGGTGTTTCATTCAATCATCAAGAGCGAAAGGGTAGTTTTTGAAACTCGGTCCAGTGGCAGCGGAGAAAAAGGCCAAAAACGCTCAATCTTCGTTTTTTGACGTTTCACATTTCATTGTTGAAAAAAATCCTAGGGGTGAAAAGTTAGAGGGTGGGATGTGGTAGGGAGTGAGGGAGGGTGTATCTCATTTTTTTATATTAGAATATTTGTACGCTCCCAGCTCCGGTAATTATACACACCTATTAGCCATATCTCACACATCATAGGCTTCCCCATGCATTTGTCGTTAAAACTTAGAATGAGTTTTTTCCATATGCGTCTCCTTCTGCTATCTGTCGCGTCTGATGATATAAGAATAGCCAACGTTGCCAGATGGATGGTAATTACCCGTAGGGCAGGGAAAGAATGTACGAACTAATTATATGATCGACTTGATCGGTTACATTTTTTTATTGTACATTTTTTTATACTCCAGCTACCATGAAGGCCTAATGCCTAAACACCCATGGGGTACCGTGGGGCTCTAGGGGGATACATTGGAAAAGGGGGGGGATGCCACAACATCCATAGCCAAGAGAAGTTCTCTTGGGACGGGACTCAAACCCTCGCAGCGCACGGTGACTGATTAGGAAATAAAGCGTCTACCATTGTGGCCACCGCTGCTGCCTACATTTATAAACATGTAGTTACTTTTGACTGGGAAGGTACTAACTTTCAGAAGACTATTTTATACTATAAGTACCTCCGCTTCTGAGATTGATCGTCTTCTATCGACAAGTGCATTGTGCACTGACAGTGCGAATGTTCAGTGGCCGGAAGAGACAAACAATTATACCTTCACCGTCAGACTTAACACCTGATGAATTTGTAACGGTCCCTGCTTCCACTTATTAAAGGCGGTCTGCGGGGTTTCTAATGAAATCACAATTACTGACACGGGGTTACGTCGCGATCGTATTTTAACATTGATTATTTTCATGACCAACCATCCGACCCAGGTTACTTCCAATTCGATTGTTGTGGGTGACCATCATTTCAAGTCCAACTAGGAGGAAAGCTACTGGTGACCTCGAGGATGAAGTTATGGGATACAGTGTTGGCATAACAAAATTTTTCGCCAGCTACCATGGCATGTCACATACGATTTAATGAAGGTAACTAAAAATAAAAATTTTTTAATGTTTGGAGTATAATTTGATACCGCAAGTAAATATTTATCTTTACTTACTGAAGGCCAGATACATTTTGTATGTGAGACTAATGATTTTAAAGCTAAATCGTTTTGAAACGCAATCACTTCCATTGTCGCAGCGATGTCTCTGTTTGCGCCACTATAGCAACTTCGTGGGATTCCTTGAAAGGATTTTTGAAGTTATCCTTCAAGTTAGAGACTATTTCTACATGATATTTACTGTCACATGGTTGTAATGGACTTTGATATATCTTTTCTGCTAGTTCTTTGTCTCTTCCCTGAAGCTGCAAATTAAGTTCGTTTAATTATTCTGTAATATCCACAAGAAAACCAAAATCTCTAAGTCAGATTGAATTTTCCAGTACCTGAATCTGTTCATCACGTTGAAATTGAACCATGGCAAATATGATATTAAAACGTTTCAGCACTCGTCCCCTACTTAACCATCGGACTTCAGAGTGAAGAAGTAGTTTCCCGTATTGACAGTCAGTTTCATCGGCCAAGGTTTTGAATAATCTTGTTTGTAACGCTTGAGCTCTAATCTTGTTCACAATTATTACTACCAATTTCATAACGTTGTTTAGTTTCAGAATATGTCCATATAATGCTTGCTGATGGATAATGCAGTGGTAACTGAGGAATTTCGGAAGACTTTCCTTTTTACGACACACCCCACGGGACCCTTATCACGACCCACCATAGCTGGAGCGTCGTCAGTTGTCAAGCCTACCATTTTCGATATTGGAGATTTCTCAGAAGAAATGATATTTTTAAAAGAGTCCTGCGCAGTAGTCTGTCCTTTTAGAGGAATAAACTTCAAAAGATCTTCTTTAATCGTAGAGTCACTAAAAACCATCCTGACGAACACGGCCATCTGAGAGGTGTCAACGACATCTGTGAAAAATAAGCACAGTTATCGAAGTCGTTTCTTAACTGTAGAACTATATCATGCCTCATTACTTCTACTCATCTCATCACTGTATTAGCAGAAAGTTGCATAGATTTTATAGCCCATACTATGTCGTCTTGATTTCTAAAGTTGACAAGTAATGAATCTGCAGCTTCTAAAAACGCCTGTTTTATCATTAATTTCTCGGTCTTCATAAGGTTTCTTCTTTTGTATAATTATCTGGGACATCCAGTAGGATGCTTCAGTTGCTTTAGTCGATTGTTTTTAAAAACATTGTCTGTTGTCCAATTAACTGATTTTTTAATTGTTTCAGTTATTCCGTTTTGGTTGCAGAACGTAATGGGAATGATTTTTCAAAATTCGAATGTACAGTTTTATAGTGCCTCTCGATATTCTCTTTTTAGCATCGGAAAACAGATGTATTACATAACAAACATACATTTTTACCTTTAGCTTCTGTAAAGAAAAATAAAATATACTGTGTGCCGTTCAGGTTTAAACTGCGTATTTATTCCGTTCAAATTAATCGAGATCGTTCTCGAATAGATCGCTCACCGCAATGTTGCTGCTGCTTGTGCTTATTATGAGAATTTACAAAATTTACGAAAGCTTCTACATCTTTTTAAAATATGTTGGGTGCCGCCAGAATTGCCTTGGCTGGTACCGGTAGCTCGCGACCGACGGGTTGGTGACCACTGCCTTAAACGTTGCACCTCTGAACAACGTGATTTACAGCAATCGATCGAGGCAATGCAGGAGGATAGTCGTGCTATTGGTATGGAATTCGGAATAGACAAATGCTCTTTGGTTCATCTCAAGAAAGGACAATACGGTGATGGTGAAGCGGGGGAGCAGCTCATGGATGGGAGCAGTCTGCATCATCTACATGTCGGCGAGACGTGTACCTAACTTGGGGTAGCGCAGCGCCATATCCAGGAGGTTAGCGTGGGCAAAGAGTATTGCTGCCGTCAGTATCTCCGGCTCGGGCAGATCTGGTCATCAGAGCTATCTGGTAAGAGCAAAGTCGCTCCAACAAATTGACATGCTTGCGGTCCCATTGTCATTGTGTCATTGTGTCATCCACTGTATTCATGTGTCGTTCGCGAACGACTCATCTAAGTAAGCGATGATTGGACGACTCTTTTCTTAAATATGGCTCGTTCAAATGTGCAAAGCGTGCCTGCAGTATGCAGCAACTGAACTGCGAACTGACAACGTGGTAACAGTACAGACACTATCTAGGGAACCCAATTGTTTTGTTTTGAGATCTCTCATTAAATTATACATTGAAATGATGGGATTTGAGAGCAAAAATTACATTTTGTTTCAGAATTCGGTAATTCCTCAAAACCGGACCACATATCCCTTCTTTTTTCGGAAAACAGTGTACAATCGTTATGTTCAATTTTAACCAAAAATATTAGTATTTAAATAAATACAATAACATCGGCAACCCCACCCCTTCATTTAATTTTCATAGTATGATATTTATTCGCTGACTCAGTGAGTCGTTACTATAGGCAACACAATACTCTCGTCAGCTTGGAGGGCGGTCGGTAATCGTATCATTTATCCGCGTATATTAAAAAATTATTAGGGGATGAAGATACCTTCAAAATGAGACCTTGAATTTGATCTGTTGCAGATGTTACATTACTGGACGACTTGACCATGTTTCCCAGGAAAAGGGTGAAGGTGGCATATATATATATACAGGGTGACTTTGAAGTTGAGTCATTAATTTTCAGATAATGATTGTAGAAGGAAGATAAACCAAAATATGTGTGTAAAAATAAAAAATAAAAATAAAAAAAAAATTGTACCTTGTTTTATAAAGTATCCTCCAGGCAAGTATTTCAGTGCGGACCTGTATTTGATCGTGAGGTCTTGGAGCACCGGCATGCCCTCCCCTGTGAGGTCTTAAGTCACCTGATTCACGAGCCCGTTGTACTACATTAACAAAGGCACGAGGGGTTGGTTGCACTCGCTTGGGGAACCGATCCGCATAAACATGTGCCATTTTTTATTTCGTTTGAGCCACGCAGCAAACACCACTATTCACTCACGCGTTACCGACTGACACATTGACTGAATAAAAACATCGCGATCAGCGTTTCAAATTCTTTCGCTTTTTTGTTTCCGATGCGATGAACCGATAGGGCGGATTATATACGTTGTTGCCAAACACGAGCACATAATATTATTATTGAGACAGGGCAGTACTCAAACTTCTAAAGGGCTATAACTTTGTTACTTTAATTTTACCACAAAAATGTTAAAGGAAAAAAACATTTCTTTTGATCAGATATACTCACTGTTAAAGTAAATGACTCAACTTCGAAGTCACCCTGTATATATATGTATATAATATATAATAATACTGTCAAGCATTAATGCGTATCTTCCGATGAGGGGCTTTTCCATTAACCCTCATGCATAAGACTTCGACGCCACGAACAAGTGATTTTCCTTTGTTACAAGAAGCTGCACCTCATATATAAAATGAATTTCCTTTATCTGCAAAGATTGCAAGTACATACGTGCCTCGAAATTCAGGAAACTTTAAATTAAGAGCTTCAAGTTTTCTCTTCTCTGTTTGCGGAATTATTACTTCCTCTAAGTTTTCACAAGTTTTGCACGATAACGGAGCCATTTGAAATTTAGGGAAACTCTTGTAATAGGAGACACAGTATGATGTCGTCGGTTCGAGAATACATAATATAAGGAAAATAAAAGGTTTACACTTGAACTTCAACAGGATCTGAATATAATACAAGGAAATGAGGACTAGCGAAAATATGTATACTCGTGACAGAAGTGTTACAAGCAACTCGAACTTCGTGGATTAGCTGTGGCGGATGGTGCAAAGTGGATAGTCGCCTCCCCATCATGTCACACGTGTTCCTCTCTTCATAATATTTCTTCTTTTGTATAATTATCTGGGATACCCAGTAAGATGCTTCAGTTGTAGCCATACTTTTGTCGATTGTTTTTAAAAACATTTACTGTTGTCCAATAAAAAAAAAAAAGTAATGAATCTGCAGCTTCTAAAAACGCCTGTTTTATCATTAATTTCTCGGTCTTCATAAGGTTTCTTCTTTTGTATAATTATCTGGGACATCCAGTAGGATGCTTCAGTTGCTTTAGTCGATTGTTTTTAAAAACATTGTCTGTTGTCCAATTAACTGATTTTTCAATTGTTTCAGCTTTTCGGTTCTGGTTGCAGAACGTAATGGGAATGATTTTTCAAAATTCGTATGTACACTTTTATAGTGCCTCTCGATATTCCCTTTTTTAGCAACAAACATACATTTTTACCTTTAACTTCTGTAAAGAAATATTGTTCTTCCCATTCCGAATGGAAATGGTATCATCTTCTTACTACTTCTCATAATGTTTTTAATTGCAGGCCAACTCTAACCCAACCGCTGGACTGTGTGCCGTTCAGTTTTAAACTGAGCGCACTGTCGCCGGGCCTTGCATATCTATTCTGTTCAAAGTAATCGAGATCGTTCTCGAACAGATCGCTTACCGCAGTGTTGCCGCTGCTTGTGTTTATTATGAGAATTTACATAATTTACGGAAGCTTCTATGGTTTTTACACCTTTTTAAAATATGTGTCATTTTTGTGTTCTGCAACTGTATGACTGACAGCGTAACTATCTTTCAGACCCCCATTTGGACTCTGGAACATGGTTGGTTATCACTAGACAGAATACTATAATCAATGGTTGAACTGAATAAAGACTGTTAAAAGCATTGTAGGGAAACCTTGCCGCAAACCGCCTTATCTATGTTGCTCGGCTTTATCCATCCACCTTGTACATTTAACTGCAAAATTTTATATCCTTTCTCCGCGTCGCATCTTGAAGCTCAATTCTTTTGTCAATTTGGGTATTTTTTCATTGATGGCACGAATACACTTAAGGGTTCTCAGATTTCATGTATGGGTACGTCAGCGCGTACCTTGTTTATTGCTAATAAAAGTAGTATCAGAATAAATTTACTTCGGCACAAAGTGTATAATAATACTACAATGGATGGTTCGCGTTTTATGATGATTGAAGTATGAACTACAGCCGACCGCTTTAAAATGTCATGCCGACACGAGTTTATGGATAATTTTTACTGGCTATCCATAAAGTACTTGCCAGAGAGGAATGAAAATGGGATAGGCGGGAATGTATATGA